GGGCACCCGCACGGGAAGATCCGCCCACCCACTCCCCAGATCATACCATAGGGGAAAACTGGGAGAGTCCCCCCGAGCGACCACACGCATAGCCCCCGGGGCCAGCAGCGACAAACTCATGGGCCCCACCAGCACCCACCACACCAGAGCAGATCCAGGAAAGGGCACAGAGGTCCGGGCCCCCAGGGCGCACCCCCTCAAGGCCAAAGCCCGACAGGCCCAGAAGCCCCGAGCCCAGCAGGCGGTCACCAGGCCAGGCCGGCACACACCCCAGCGCCCAGCCCCAGACCCCGGGAACCCCCAGCACGCCAGCGGCCAGCCGTACACCCCACCTGGGGGCCGAGTAGCAGCGGGCCCCCAGATAAACCAGCAGGAGGGGAAGCCTAGACTGCAGCCTGACAAATACCCAAACATACACATACACAGTCGCACCATCCCACCCTCATCCTCACCCTCACTCAGTCAAAGACATACAAGGACGCCACATTCCACTCATACCCCCAATACACACTCTATACTCCCCAGGTCCAGAACATGCACCCACCCCCAATTGGAGGCAGCACACACCCGAACCCAGGAGGTAGACCCAATCATTCTGAGAGGAGCAGATAGCTAAGGCCCGGCCCAGGCCGCACCAGGATGCCCGGCCAACCCCCCGCCGCAGAGAAGCCACGTCCATGACCACCCCACCACACTGCCAACGACCAAGTGCACCCCCAGCCGACCACCCCCCAGAACCCGGCAGCCACCCCGGCCAGGGGGCCACCCACAGGAACCAAGAGCCAACACCTCAGGAGACCAAGCAGCACCAGGGAGGATGGAGAGCCAGCCCTGCCCCCGGCAACCGTCCAAGCCCCGAGCCCACCCACAGCCCAAGATCGCACCCAGCGGCCCGCCCTTCTTCAGGACCCCCTCCCCAAATGGCAGTCAGGGAACGGGATGGGAGTAAAGACCCTGACACACACACACCCACCCACCCCCAGATGTACTGTTGGTGCGTGCTGTTCTATAGAGCAATTAAAAAGGGAAAGAAGAAGTGGTGCCAGTTTCCCCTCCACCATTACTCTAACCCAAAACCCTAAGTGTCTATATGCAAACCTTGGGGGGTGGGCACAGGCACAGGAAGCGAGAGTGGTGCCATCCAGCCACCTATAGCCATGAGTGCCCACCTTAAGTTCCTATATGTGAATGTCATGAAAATGTTATAAGTGAATGTCTAAGATGTACAATAAAATTTGGGGCCCAGGTGGTTATGGCAAATATAAATGTAATATTGTTGCTCTTATAACACAACTGTGCCCCCAAAAAACTCTACATGGGTGAAGTTGAAAGTGAAGAGGATGGAGGTGTGCTGAGGGATGGGGAGATTAATCTGAAGGAGCAAAGTGCTCCCACAGGGAGTCAGCTCCCCCGCTGGCCCCAGTAAGCCCTCCAGTTCCCCAAAACCCACCCAGGAAGAGCAGCCCAAATACCTCTCCCTCCAGGCAAATTGCCAAGCCCACAGAACCCAGACCATGGACTGACGGAGCCCCGAAGGTCTCCAGAAACCGGGACCAACACCCCACCAGAGCCACCCAGACCCCCAAAACCCGACCCCAGCCGCATAGCCGGCCCGCCGCCCAGAGAGGCCACCGTTCCCCAGCAAGGACAACCTGGCCAAGAGTGCCCACCCAACCGCCGACAGAGCAAGGGGGCACCCAGGGCGGGCCCCCGCCACAGCAAAGGGCCAACCAGCCGGCCCAGCACGGCCCCCAGCCACCACCAAAGGCCACCAACACAATCCCCACCCCAGAAGACATATTACTACTACTGCTGACAGTTTCAAAAGAACCTTTGATGCAAAGTTTCAGCTGAAGCTAAAAGAAAGTGACATTGCTTCTGTTCAATGTTAATCTTTAA